AAAAAAAAAAAAAAAAGAGAGAGAGAGAGAGAAAATTATCAGTACCTCCTTGGCCTGGTTGTACTGCGGCTGGCAGACTTTGTAACGCACATAGTCGAACTCGGACGTGTTGGTCTCTTCTTTCTGTTCAAGGTCCAACATTGCGAGAGCTTCGTCTGATAAAGAAAACAGAAGTGTTAGAATATTTTCAAGTCGTATAAGCATTCGAACGAGCAAGTCACAAGACCTTGAGGGTAGTTCCGGTATAAGTCGCAGGTCGACATGAATACCGGGTTCCTAAGCCAGTCGGCCAATGGGATCCAAATGGACGGCACAATGATAGACTTCCTATTCCTGACCACCTTCTTGACCTTATATTATTCAAGTTGAAAATCGTTGTCGTGGTAGACGAGCGGCTTAGTGGGTTTGTGCACCCCATGTCCGAGCTAGATAGACTTGGCATTAAAGAAATTCATCCGCAGGTTGAATTCTTCGTTGTCGGTTCTAATGCAGTAGAATATGTGCTTTCAATCGCGCCACTTTGACAGCCTGTGTAGAATCACCGTATACTCTTTCTGAGTGCTTAGTATAAACCAGCCATCCGTCTCAGAATCCATCCGGACCATTGAGTGCATCTCACAAAAAATTGGGACGTCTGGCTTGATGCCTTGCCGAAGGCACGTTACCAGATAACCAAAAATGTTTACCCAGCTGTTCGGCACCTGCTGGAAAATTGCAATGTTGTATTCGTCCAGCAGAGCAAGAATGAATGGATGTAAGGGGAAGCAAAGGCCTATTTCCAAGGCGGCATAGTAGACGTTGAAGAATTTCTTCCTTTGCCTCCTACCTTCCAAGTCGGCCACCGAGTATGAGCGGCTTAGCGCCATGATCTGGTAACCTTCTCCAAGCTGGAGGAGTTCTCTGGATTCCTTAAATTTATGGTGTAAGAAGCCAAGGGCAACGTCGCCAACTGCAAAGGCGTATGGGTCCTTAAAATTTTCGGCGGTTTCCTCTTCTGTCGCTTGACCGGCGTCCGGATTCTCAGCATCTTGTTTGGTGGCCTAGGGTTCAGGGGCCTTGGCCGAGCCGAACTTAGAGGAAAACAATGTGTCCCAGGTAGCAGCCTCGCCTGATCTCCCTCCCTTGGAGCCTTGGTCGACTTTAATAACAATGGTGCCTTCAGGCACCAAGGGTTTTTTACCCTTATCTTTCTTCACTCTAGCGTCCGTCTGATTTCCTGAAGTAGGAGCGTTACGAGTGGGCAGATCGGATGGCTCAGAGATATGAATTCCAATCCTGAGCTTAGTAGACCTGGTAGTTTGAATTGAGGGTTGATGAATCATATTTATATAGAGTTTATTGGCACGTTTATGCTAAGTTTATAGTTTCTTTTTAGGTCTTTTTGTCGCTTTTTAGGTTGCAAATTCATAAGTTATTTGTTTTGTACTCTATTACGCTCCATTTGTGTTTTTCTTAATATTTCAGGTGATTTCATAGTCATTTGGCGCTTTCAAAGTGTTTAGAGTTGATTCGGATGATATTTGGATGGAAGCCGATGAATTGAGTTTATTAATCGAAGATCCCATGCTCGTAGATGTCGATTTTGATTAGTGTGTACATGAGGAATGAATAGCATCCACAAGGATTGTTATGCACTTTTCGGGATTGAATTTGAGTTTAAAACGAGTTAAACGATGATGAACGAAGTGTCAAAACAAAACTTTGGTCACTCTTTGATCATAACTTGAGTTCTACTAATTGGATCGAAGCGATTCAAATTGCGTTGGAAACTAGACTTAAAGAGATTTCTATTGATAGGTCACCATGTCCCTATAAGATTTTTAGATCTCGAGATATGGCTCTCCGAAGTTGACCCTGCGAAGTTGCCAACCCATCCCCCAGCCATCGGGCGATGGAAATGCTATACGCTCGAGCGTGAGCTTCTTAGGCGATGGAAAACCAACGCCCTCTGGTCAAACCCCTAATGTAGCTCGTCTGACCATCGCCCGATGTGGGGTGTGCGCACAAAGTATGAGAAATCCTACATCAACTATGACTCTTTAATTCGACCAATCATTAAACTCCTTTTATTATTTTTATTTTTCTATTTTATTTAGGTTTAGGATAATATAAATGATTAAGGGATATTATTTTCCCTCATGCCATTTTTTACCTCTTACATTCGTTGGTTTTCTCTTGAACCCTAGTTTTTCATGGCATCTCCATGGATTCTTCCATATATAATTCTTGAATTTATTATTTCAATTCATTAAGGTATTTATTTATATTTCTTATTTATTTCATGTTTGAGTAATTTAATTTCTAGGGTTTGGGAATCCATGTTTATATAATGAATCTTGATTGATGTTATTAATATTTTGATTATTGATTTATCTAATTGATAGTGTTTTATTGTTAATCTTGCAACCTGATCAATTGTTTGATTAATTATTGTTTATAAGAGTTTGAATCAAAATATCTTACTTTTAGAGGCTTACCTACAATTAGCAATTCTATGTATGTTAGCGACCGAACTACACATATTGAATTGAGAGCGTTAAGACCCGACCGTAGGCTTAGGAATTGCTCTAGATAATTGATTGATTGAATTGTTATTGATATTTGATAGATTTAGAACTATAAACATGGTGAACCATAACCCTAAGTCTTTTTATTAATTGTTTTATTCTTATTTTAAATTAGAATTTATTTTAATCCAAATTTCGTGACATAATTTAATTTCTCCATACCTTGAAAGCTAGATTGAATATCATCTCCCTGTGGATTCGACCCTACTTACCCTACTACATTGTAAGCTGGTTTTGTTAGGAATTTATTTTTGACAAGTGTATGACAACCTATCAAGGGTTGTTGGGGATTTTGGTCGGACCTAGCGTCCACCTAATTTGTCGAAGGATTCCTCTAGAAAATGGCAGCTCGAACGGTATCAGGATCGAGCTGGTATATTGGGAGAGGCGTTTTACCAGATCTTGCCCGAACGCCTCCCTAGAAGAGGTTTGAGAAGAAGTGCCTCCCTCAGAAAAGGAGGGGGTCACCTCCAATACAGAACAGGCACTACCACTAACTGTGGCGCCACCACTCTACCCGTCCGTGTTACTGGGGTCAAAAAGGACTAGGGGATCCACCATACTGCTGTCTGGATTTCTAGAGGACCCACGCTCGTACGTCTATCTCGTACACACCATGTTCGACTACAGGAACAGAAAATAATAGGTGGGGGTGATTTGGTACACACTTCAAATGGACCCACTCCAAAGAGAGGAGGAATCGTCTCCTTCCACTCTAGACTCCTCAGTCCCAGGCGAACGGCCGACCTCATGAGGAGAAATGAACGAAGCCAAGAATTATGCCAGTTTGTGTTTGAAAAAAAACAATTATGAAAAAAAAGGAAAAAGTAAAGAAAAGTAGACGGTTACCTCTGTACGAGTAGCAAACTTTGGAAGACTTTGAAGATCTTGAAGGTTGATCGGAAAACGTAATAAACTCGAATGGAAAGTTCTAAGACACGGAGGAGCTCTTGGTGATGTGAGGGGAAAACACTTTCTCTCTCTAAAAAGCTCTGACTTCTCTCTAAAATTCGCAAAGTTCCAAAGTGACAAAATGAAGTCAAAAAGTCATATTTATAGGCAAATTTATGGGGGCAAAATGGTAAAATCGCTTTTCCCGCCTAGAAGCTCAAAGAGTTATTTTTTGAAAAATTAACCTAGAAGCCCAAACTGTTAATTTAACCTTCCCATCAATATAGACGGGGAAGACGTACAGTTGCCTAAACGACGCGTCAAAATAGACGGCCAGGTCAGCAACTTCAAGCCACTGGCCCGAGAAATACGGAACAGGTGTCCCACCTGATATCAGGTGGCACCATCCGTCCGACTGATTTCAAGACTTAAGTCCACCAATGAAACCAGGAGGACCGACTAAGGAATTTAGCCTAAATGGATAATCCCATGACCAGACGGACGGTACAGTCCGTATCTTTTTAACAATGCTCCATCAGCCCGATACTCGAACGACCCTGGACGAGTGAAGATCAGAGGAGGTGGCCTGTATGGTACGAGCCACCCCCTTTGAGGGGCAAATGTTTAGAGTAAAAATACCACTGACACGTGGTCCAATCCTATAGAGACACGTAGCCCAATAACAGGGTGACTCGTGTCCCAATAGGAAGATGACATGTGGCAAACAAGAGAGCACCTGAATGAGAGAAAGACCTCCTTACATCAAGAGACCCAAATCCCGAGAAAGGCGCTAAAACGACACCCCCAAAGGACACTTGTCCTTACCTGATTGCACCGTCATTTAGAGCACACCATTCTAGGTCACCAAACCCTAGATGGCACACACTCCCACCCCTATAAATACCCCAATCATTTATGATGGGAGGGGGGGATGGAGACATTTCATTTATTGCATAAGCAATTTGCTCCAACTTCTCTCTATTTTCTCTCTCTAAATTATTTCGTTTTCTGATCAATAACTTTATTGTCAGAGGCGAAATATTCCGTCAAACGGAATATTCGTTGTTTTGTAGGTGTCCGCAACCCTCTGGCTATAATCAAGACCTGTATCCCGAGGGATTCCAAAAACCTCGAAATAGATCTGAATAGGAATTGACCCAATACTGAATCAAGCTTATCCTAATCAAACTGAACCGAACCTAACCGAACCAAAATCAACCAAAGCCAAAGTCATATGACTCGAAATTAACCCGATCAAATCTGTCTTGAACTCGAACGAATTTATCCAAACCGAATATGAAACGATCTGAAGTTGAACCGACCTACACCCGACATTGGCTCAACGAATTTTGACCCGACCCAAACCGAGGCGGGTTAAAAGGGTAACCTTGAATCGTACAGACCAGGCCGTCGTGGATCAATCTAAACTTCGTCCGGTTATCCGAATTGACACCCCTCGGCCCTACCTCCATTCATTACGGATGAGAGCTACAATAGTACAGTGCCCACAGAGTATGTGTTGTTTTATAAGACATTTACCAATTTCCTTGTGCCCCCCTTTGAGGCTTTGACAAACAAATAATCGAGACATTTTACCATTTTCTGTGGCTTTCCAGCATTCACCTTTCTATCCAAACGGATTGATTATTTTCTGGAATCCTAACAGAATGAGGTGGTCCAGCTTAGCTCCATTGCAGAAGGTCTGAGCTTTAGCTAATTGAACTGAACTCCTTTGAATGAAATTGTTAGGAATTCCCATTGATTTATCTGTGAATTTCAGGCACAGGTTCCATTTATAGTTTGCAAGAAAAGAGAAAGAGAAAGGGATCAAAAGCAAGCCTATAAAGTTATTGAAATCACCCCACCTCCCAAACATCTTGGTACCCGTTGCTTTCCTCCTGTAAGTTCTATCTTTCTTTCTTTCTTCTTTTTTCTGCATTTATTCAAATGGGTTTTTTGCTTACTGCCTTCATTCCTCAATTTCCAGTATTTTTTGGTTTTTTGCTATCCTTAGTGGTTATTTTAACATGAGATGTTGCTATTTCCTTATTTACTACAGTGCTGTTCATAGCAGATACTGATGTTGTATGAATTGTCAATAATATGATGTCCTTTTGTGAAGTACTGGGTGTAATTAATGTTGAACTCAATGTGGTTAAAAAAATCCTGCTGTAGATAATGTACTGTGAGTCATTGAGTCAGCTTCAGGAGCTTAGTTGTTATTTTATAGGTGATTGCATGATGCTTTTTAGGTTTTTGTATACCAACAACAATGACCTTGTAGCTTTATTCCTTACCTTTAGTTTCATAGTTCTATGTTTATTATTGCAAACTTGCACGAGTGGTCGTGCAAGGGCTAGCTATTGCTGTTGCTTCACTGCTGTTGCTATATGTTGCTCCGTGTGCATGAGGTGAGGCGAGGTGCAGGTAGCAGAGAGGAAGTGGCTCTGTGTTGTTACTGTTGTTGTGCTGTTAGTGAGGGAAAGTAGCGAGTATAAGGCGCAGCGAGGTGAGGCAGGACTGATTTTTGCATGAGAGAGAGCTGCGTTTGGGCTGCAATGTTGGTGTGGGCTATTTATGCAGGTGTGCAGCAAGGAGATAATGAAGGAGACGCAGCGCTGCATGTGGGTTGCAGCGAGCAGCAGTGTGGGTGCTTGCGAGTGCGATTGAAGGTTAGACTAGGACTGCTGCTGCGTTTGTGTAAGGGTTTGTTTGTTGTCATGGGCGCTGGAAACAAGGATAGGGCATGGCTTGGGATGCATGGATTGCAGGGGAAGGGATGGCAGGGCTAGGGCTGCAGCTGCAGCTGCAGCTGCAGTTTTGTTATCGGTATTGAGTATTGTTGATGGGTATGTTTTTTGGCACTTAACTCTTCAGTGAGATTCTGCTAATAAATCTACAGAAATCCAGATATTCAGTCTTTTGTTATCTAGAATCAGTGAAAGCCTTGCCCTATTCCCATTTATTGACACACGGTCAGGGAGACTTGTGCTTATGTTGCTAAACATTGTTGTTGGCTAGCAAGAAGCTCAGATTCTTACGATAAATAAGAGACATCTTTAAATAGTTTAAGGTAGGTTAGTCTTTCAATCCGAAATTGATTGAAAATAAGCTATGCTTTATTTTACTTGAATTCTGAAGTTATAATCATCCGATCTCTACTAGTTAGATGATGTAATGAAGGCTTTATGACTTAAATGAGTACTGAAGTAGGGTAGATGAAGGTCAAAGAGAAGCGAATGTCATGTGTTAATTATAATACTGAATTGCAAAAGGGTGATCTTAGATCTGAATCGATCTTTATCCTTGGCATTCAAAAAACTAGTATTACTTTGAACTAACCTTTTTATTGCATGAAATGGCTAATAACACAAGTCAAAATTATTCAAAAGTTACAACCCTTTGTCAGGAGCCGGAAGAGGTTTATGAAAGCTATCTTAGATAGGTATGCTCGTTGACAGAGTAATTGCCATCCTTTTTGCGTAATGGCACTGTTATTATCCGATCTCTCAAATTTAAATGTGCCTGGAATGTTTGCTTTCTTTGTCCCCACTGCTAGGGGTATTTTTTTTTTCCTGTATCAATTACTAAGACCTGGTTTGCTTCTGTGCCATTGAACTATGATTGAGGTGAATTTTATGCTCTTGCGTGAAAGAGTTGAATAGGCTGAGATAGAAATTTGTGTTCATTTAACCTAAACTAAATTCATCAGATTAATAACACTTTTCAGAGACATTATATATCCGTCTAGTACTTTAAATTCCAAGTCATGGAAGAAGAAGAGATTCTGGTTGTGCAGATAAAGCCTTTTGGAACCTATTTCTCACAGCTTGGTAATTGGTATGATACTTGTTTGTCTTTCTAGGGTGCTTTGGGACGGATTAAAAAAAAAAAAAAAAAAGTGTTTCTACACTATCAGTAAATTATTGAACTTCTTGTCATTTGAAGAACTAAAGATGTTAAGATACTCACTTTTTCTTCAAGGAGAAAACAGTTTATTATTAAGATGTCCCTGGATCTGGAATGTGCTATAATATTATGTGAGTTGTGGGAAACCGAAGGCATGCCTTGGCATCAATTCACCTTGAGTGAGGTTGGCAATGATTAAAGGAGTGGTGGATCAAAGAAGAGATAAATGGTACGCAATACATGAGTTATCCAATGACTTGGATTGATAGTTAATCACCTATAGTAGATTCATACTTTCATCTTTTCATTTATAGTTGTTTTTCGTAGTTTATTATGAGAGTCTGTGGTGGGTGGGGAAATAAATTATTTGATTATTTCAGTTTTTTACTGTGCACCCACACAAAAAAACTATTCTCCAAGTTATGAAGAAGCATTATTTGACAAAAAGCTGATATTACTGATATGATTGATAAATCATGCCATATTACCCACGATCTTATATGAACTGGCATTTGTAATTGTGACCTCTGTTGTGATTACAACTATGATTCAATATTGCGATCTTGCTATTTTCTAGAGCAAGCCAGGTTGGCTCCTTATGAAGATAATTGGAGATTTTATTGAATTTTGTTTGTTTCTTTTTAAATACAAATACTGCTCTACGGATGACTTTTTAAACTGAAATTTCCAACTGTCTCAAACCTTTTTTTTTTTTTTTTTTAGCTTACGAGGAGGTAGCTTACTAGGAGGTTTCCTCTCCCTGAAACATATAAAAGATTTTTTGACGCAACTGTTTCTGTCCATGTCCTAGATTAAAGTTAAGAAGCTTTTTTTAGTGACAATACACTTTGGTCCTCCTCTTAATTTACAATTTTCTACTACGACCACATTTCTAGTAGTGAATTAGAGTTCAATGAGGATAAGAAAAGAACTAGAAATGCTGAAATGATTAAAAAAAAAAAAAAAAACCGCAAAAAATAACTGTTAGCAGATATGTGAGATTTCAACACTTAGTTATTAGGATGTTCAATCAATTAATCAATCAAAGCCTTAATCCCATGAAAGGGTCGACTAAATGAACCAAATATAATTATTCCGCGTAATCATCGACAAAGATCCTCCTCCTCCATCCCTTACAATCCAATGTCTCATCCTCATGCAAATCCATATACTTCATATCCTTCCTAACTCCTTTCAACCAAGTCATTTTCGGTCTCCCCCTCCTTCGTTTAACCCCTCCATGGTCCCACTCATCCACTCTTCCTACCGGTGCACCCTTGGGTCTCCGTCTAACATGCCCAAACTAACACAGACGATTTTTCTCTTAGTTTGTATCCCTTCCACACCTACCTTCTTGCGAATAACTTCATTTCTGATTCTATCTCTTAGAGTGCTCCCGTATATCCACCTTAACATTCGCATTTCCGTAACCTCCATATTTTTAATTTGCGCCTTCTTAGAAGCCCAACATTTTGTACCATAAAGCAACACTGGTCTTGGCAGTCCTGTAAAATTTTCCCTTCAACTGTAAGGGAATGTTTCGATCACATAACACTCTCGTGGCCGCTTTCCACTTAAGCCACCTCGATTTAATCCTGTGGGCCACGTCTTGATCAATGTCACCATTTTTCTGGATGATCGACCCATGATATTTAAAACATTCGCTCTTGGTCAAGTCCTTTCCATCCAAACTCACCACCTCATTGCTTGTCCCCCTTTGAGTACCAAAGCGGCATACCATATATTTAGTCTTATTCCGACTTAGCTTAAATCCTCTAGATTCCAACCTTTGCCTCCATTGTTCCAACTTGGCATTAACCCCATTTTTAGTTTCATCCACCAAAACGATATCATCCGCAAACAGCATACACCAGGGGATTTCATCTTGAATTGGTCTAGTAACTTCATCTAGAACCGTTGAATAAAGGAAAGGGCTTAACGCAGACCCTTGATGCAATCCAATTGAAATAGGAAAATCTTTTGTCAACCCTCCACAAGTCCTTACATTTGTTGACACATCCCGATACATATCCTTAACTAGGTCCACGTACCTTAGTGGGATACCTTTCTTTAACATTGCCCACCAAAGAACCTCTCTTGGCACCCTGTCCTATGCCTTTACTAAATCAATAAAGACCATATGGAGATCCTTCTTCTTTACCCTATAAAACCCCATCATTTGTCTTATCAAATGGATTACTTCCATAGTGGATCTCCCTGGCATAAAACCAAATTGGTTATCCGAAATGCTTGTGCATGCCCTCAACCTATGTTCAATCACTCTTTCCCACAACTTCATAGTGTGGCACATAAGCTTGATCCCTCGATAGTTGGAACAATCTTGAGCGTCTCCTTTGTTTTTATAGACCGAGACCAAGGTGCTCTTCCTCCAATCTTGCGGGATCCTTGTAGTTCTCCATATCTTGTTAAAGAGGTCTGTTAACTAATCAATACCAATCTTAGCCAAACACCTCCACACCTCTATCGGTATATCATCAGGGCCAACTGCCTTCTTAGGCTTCGTCTTCTTCAGTGCAATCTCTACCTCTACTCTCCTAATCCTCTGCACATACTCCATGTTAATTTCTTCATCACTCTGGTATCTACTGTCACTACTCCATTACTTTCATTAAAAAATTCTTCGAAGTACCCCTTCCACCTGATGTCCTCGTCTTGTACTAGAATAACTTGGTTCTTATCTTTGACACACTTTACCATGGCAATATCCTTCCTTGCCTCTTATCTTCTCTTCGCCATCTTATAAATGATCTTTTCTCCCTCCTTGGAGTATAGCTTTTTATAAACCTCTTGATAAGCCTTTTCTTTCGCTTGGCGAACAACTGCCTTTGCCTTACTCTTAGCCTCCTTATACGCTACAAAGGCTTCGTCGCTCCTACATTTTCCCAAGGCTTGATAGCATTCCCTTTTTTGCTTAATTACTACTTTCACCTCTTCATTCCACCACGAAATATCTCGCTGCATTGAAGTTCT